TTGTATCATACAGTATTTGTACTATTCACATAAAAAATGTACAAGTACAAATATATAAAAAAAATAAATGTATAAAAAATAATAAATATATAAAAAATAAATAAATATCTAACATAAAAACTTTAACAAATAAAAAATGATGATTAGTAATTTTTATATTTTACTACTACTATTATAATTATTATTAGTAACTTAAGTTTTATGAATTATTTTAACTATTTTATTGACCTCGTTAAAAATTTATTATTTATTTATTTTAATCTTGTTTATATTTAAATATAAACAATTGTATTATTTAATAATTAAACAACTTTTAATTATCATATATTATAACATATTTTTTTTAAAAAATATTTATTTTTCATTTATAATACTTTTTTTAGTCTATTATTGTAAATACAATATTTATAAATATATATATGTTGCTATTGTTGACAATTGCAATACAATATACTCATAAAAGTTATATAATATATACTAAAATATTTTTAATTTATTACAAAACAATAGTTTTGTGAATCATAGAAAACATAGTTAAAATGTTAGTAAAAAAATTTTTTATGATACTATTATCTTATTATAATTAATACACTCACAATGATATTTATTGAAAAAAAAAACTTTTAAAATATTTAGTTTTCTGGAATTGATGTGTCTGTCTGTCTGTCTGTCTGTCTGTCTGTGACTTATATAAAGTATTGAATATTTTTGTTATAATTTATATTGACTAATTGTTTATTATTAATGAATATTTTGGTTATAATATAATTCAAATTGAATAAAATTACCAGCAATTAATAAATTTTTTTAAAAGTATAATATGATTTATGGACTAATGGTTAAAGCAGCAATAAATATTTATTTTTGAAATATTATAAGTTATAGTTTATAACATATATATATTGTAGAAATATGGAATCAGCAATAAACATTTCGATTATACTATGTTACTCTACTATACCATGGATTTAAAAAAAATATCGGTATAATGGTTATCAACAATAAATATTTATTATTATTATTATTATTTTTTGAATAATGTACGGCTTTTTCTATTAAATATTAATTAAATATCATATATTAAAAAATACAGCCAATAAAATCTCAGTAACTGCATATGTATGGGGTATATGTATATGTATACATAATTTACGCCATATTAAAGTTTGTTTGGCGCGGGGCATTGCTTTCTAGCATTGTCAACTGGCGGTTTTTTTTAATAATAATTAAAAAATAAAAATAAAATATTCAAAAAAAAAAAAAATATTTACTAGTCACCTTTTTTGTTAATCAATATAAAAATATTGCTAAATATTGAAATATTTGAAGTTTAATATTTGAAGTTTTTTTTTGTTTGTTGCTGTTATTGTTGCATAAGAAGCACTTAAAAAAATACTAGCAATTTCTTGTTGTTTATTATATATCAATAAATTTCAATTATTCAATCAATTGATTAATTACATGATTATTATTTGCTAAATAAAAAAAAAACAATATATATATATATAGTATAGTATATATATAATTTTTGTTTAATAACTATTGTTAGTAATTTTTTTTATAGTAAAACAAAAACTTATAGTAGTATTACATTATCACTAACTAACTAAATATTGTTGTTATCATTAATATTATTAAATTATTAATATTTTATTTTTTTTTTGGATAAATTATTCAATTTTTTTGTTTCAATCAAAATGATCGGTCAAACAGTTAACAGTTGTGTTTCGGAAAGTTTGACCCAAAAATATCGGCTATTTTTGACGATAGCTTGTGTTGTGTCTTATTTTTTATATGTAAATACAAACATAAATATTATTTATATACTAAATATATATATATATATATATATATAATTATTACTATTAGTAATCATTAATTTATTTTTTTAAATACTGTTGTGTGTTATATTGAATCTATTAATAATATTATTTATTATATATTTATGAATTGTGTTTTAGAAAGCTAACTATTTTTTATATAATTAATTAATTAATTATTTTTTTTAAATGTATTTAAAAGGCATTTAACAATTTTATTATTGGCCAAACATTGAAGGACTTGCAAGATATCTATCGGTGTAGTTATGGACAGATATCCAATATTAATACAATCAGGGCGTTTACATTTGCCCTGGGATCAATTAGTAAGTTATATTATCAATTGTTATCAATATTATCAAGTACATTTTTCTATACAATTAAAATAAAATAAAATACAACATATAATTACATTTTTTTTATAAATTAATTTAATAATAGTGTTAAATATTTAAAGGAAAAATAGTTAGCAATTTATTATTGATATAATCAAACAATGAAAAATTTTAGGTAATTTTTATTAATCAATATTACAATTAAATTAAGTTAATTTTAATTTTCTTAAAAGATAAAAAAATTATATATATATATATATATTATATATTAAATTATACTAAAAATATTTAAGTGTAAACTATGAATTTTTTGTGCAAGTGCATTTATTATACCTTAAAATATTGAATAAAATTTATCAGATTATACCCAGTGAGTAAACAAAAAAATAATAATTATTATTGAATTTGATTATATAAGTAAAAAAATATGAGATTGCTAATTTTTAATATAATTTTATTGAGTAATAATTTATAATAACGTAATAAAAAAAAATTGTAATTAATTATTTTAACAAATATAAATCAATTTACAATCAAACAGTGTAGCAATAATTTTTTACTATTTTCAAGTCAGCATAAATTAAATTTTATTTTTATTGATAGCATTAACTAAAATAATTTTTAAGTAAATCATATTTAATATACTTATTGTAACTATAGATGGATTTGCATTTGACATAATCAACAAACAACTGTGTCTATTGACATGTCATGTCATAATAGGTCTGACAATGATATTGACGCCATTCCTCTATTACTTACCGCTTCTATACGTTAATAATGCGGTCAACGGTTTCCTTAGCGGCGGTATTGAACTGTTACTCAACGTATGGGTAGTAGAAATGTGGGGCCAAAAGTGCGGCCCATATATACAGGCCGTACACTTTGGCGGCAGTATTGCTAGTCTAATAACGCCACAAATTTTCGGACCATTTTTAGAGGTAAAAGATATATCAGTGATTATGTCAAACAATACACAAGGATTGGCGGTCAACGGGACCGATATAGTAATAATCACACCGTCGACAATACAGATACCGTACGGCATATTGGGTGGCCTATCGGTAGCGTTCGGCCTGTTTATGGGTTGCAGTTATTTCTATCGCAAATATGAGGGACGAGTTGTCACAGTTAAGGGAAACAGTAATTGGCGACAACGGTTCACAGTAGCAACCAGTGGTCAATCACCGCAGTCTCTATTAATGGTCATTGTATTGCTGTGCGGTTATATTGTATCGATAGCGTTGACCATACAGTGGGCACAATTCAATTATATGCCCACATATGTTGAGGACTCGCAGCTACACGAAACCGCCCAGGGAGCCGTCACAATGACCACTGTATTGGGCGGCGCACTAGTAGTCGGTCGATTGGCCGGTATGATTATATCGCAGTTCGTCAGCGCCAAACTCATTGCTATATTGTTTTTGATCCTATTGTTTGGCGCCGAAATTGTTTACATTATATTCACAAATATCGGCTCAACCGGTGTATGGGTGGCTCACGTTTTATTCGGGTTCGGTTTGGGACCGATGCAGGCCGTCGGCTATCAGATTGTCGAAACGGTAACACCGATGACCAACACGATAGGTGTACTCTATATATTTATGAGCGGACTGGTAGCAGCCGTTACGCCCATAATTATGAGCATATATATCGATACCAATGTGTTTACACTGATCTATGTTAACCTGTTTTTTATTGTCACTGGACTGGCGGTAGTGGCTATTATTTGGTGGTTAATCCACAAAAACAATACAAATGTGTCCAACTATGATATGAAACCAAATAAAAATACTACTATAGATGTAGTAGAAATCATGACAGTAGCGGCACCGGTAGCTATCGATACTAGACGTGTCATAATAATTGATAAACAAACTAATTGGTAGTAACATAACTATATATTTAGTATATTTAGTTTTTAGTAAATTAATTAATTAAAGCAATAATGTAAATATAAAATAGTTATATATAATTTTTTTTACATTTATTACATTTTATTTAATTCAATTTTTAATTAAAAATTAAATTATTAATGTACTAATATAATAATAATAAACATAAAAAATCATATCATACTTATATATTTAAAAAAAATTATTTTTTAATAATATAGTTATTTTTTTGAATATTATTTTTTTATCGCTAACAAAATTTCTTTAAAAAATAAATTAAAATACAATTATAAATAATACATAATTTTTTATTTATTTATTTATTTAGTTAAGTATTAATTATTTCAGTCATACGATAGATATTTATTTATTTTATTTTAATTTAATTTATTTACACAATAAAAGTACAATATTTTTTTTTATGACATCAATATATCCAGTTATATCCTGATTTAATTTTTTTCCATAAAAAATATTATGAAAGTATAGTTAAATATTAAATAATTAAAACTAATTTTTTTCTCTATAATTTTGTTGTTGTTGTTGCATAAGAAACATACAAACATATAGAAACATGAGTTAATTTTTTTTAATATTATTTAATGAATAATAAACAATTATAAATCAATTATTGCCTAATATCATCAATATTTTATATATAATATTATATATATTTACTAATAAAAAAAATGATATAAATATATAGTATATATATATATATATATATATATATATATATATATATATATCTAATGATCATTTTTTTGTTGGTTTAATAGCAAATTTATTTTAATAGTTTGCAATATTAGTAGTAATAGTAAAATATAATTATTACTATTATTTTTTTTTGCTAACTAAACATCGCTGTCATTATTATTGTTATATTTATTAATGAAATTTACTATTATTTTTATTACAATAATATTGTCTATTTTTTCGCAATCAAAATGAACGACCAAACAGACCGGAAAGTCATTGCCAAACAGTCGGGTGTTTCGGGTAGTCTGACCCCAAAATATCGGATATTTTTGACGATAGCCCTCGTTGTGTCTTATCTTTTATATGTAAAAATACAAATACTTATTATTATTATAATAGTATTTTTTATAATTAATTTATAATACTATTGTTATTTAAGTTATTTGTATTATTTTTTTCGTTGTTGTTATAATATAACATAAACTATATATAATTATATTTTATTTTTAATATATATATATTTATTTATCATATAATACTGTTTTATTGATAAGTTATTAATATTAATTATTATTTTTTTTAAAATTGTGTTTTTTTAAAGCTAATTATATTATAATTAATTACTTTATTTTTCAATGTATAATATCTAAAAGGCATTTAACAACTATATTATTGGCCAAACATTGAAGGACTTGCAAGATATCTATCGGTGCACTTATGAACAGATATCCAATATTAATACAATCAGGGCGTTTGCTTATGCCGTGGGATCAATTAGTATGTATATTATCAATTGTTATATATATATATATATATATATATATATATATATAATATTATCATGTACATTTTTTATACTTGATTATAAGGAACTGGATGTCAATGATCCAGTTCCTTATATGTTCACACGCAAAAAAATATATAGATATATATTCAATTAATGAAATGTAGTCTAAAACTTTATATAGGGTTATAACTTTGTAAATGTAATAAAGTTTTGTAATATTTTAAAGATATACACTTATATATCAATATATGTCTTATCAATGTATATATAAGTTATTATTTTAATGTCTCAAAAAATGTTGAACAAGAAATTATAAATAGATATATAAGACTATAATTGTTAGTTTTAAAATAAAAATATCGGAAAAAATATTTAACTTTTATAATGTATACTTTATATATAATATATACAGTATAAAAAGTAAACTTGTTGTACTTTAAAAATAATTTATATACAGATTAAGTGTATGTACTGTATATATTTGCTGTTAATTACTTTAACAATGAGTAGACAATAAATACAACAAAAAATATAAATAAATAATAATAACTTATTATCAATTAAATCATATTTAAAAATTTTTTTTTATTTATATATCTATAGATGGATTCGCTTTTGACGTAATCAACAGACAGCTGTCACTAATGATAATTCATGTCCTGATTGGTCTGACAATGATATTGACACCGTTTTATCATTACTTATCGTTGTTATACATTAACAATGTGGTCAACGGTTTCCTGAGCGGCGGTATTGAACTCCTACTAAACGTATGGACAGTAGAAATGTGGGCCCAAGACTGCGGTCCATATATACAGGCCGTACACTTTGGCGGCAGTGTTGCCGGTCTGATAACGCCCCAGATTTTCGGATCATTTCTAGAGGAAAAAATTCAAAAAACACTGCCAAACAATACAACGGGTCCGGCAATGGATGGTCAGGTCACCGAAACTATAATCATTAGACCGTCGACAATACATATACCGTACGGCGTATTGGGCGGTATATCGGTAGCGTTTGGCCTGTTTATTGGCTGCACGTATTTCTATCGTAAATATGAGCGCCGAGTTGTTGTCCACAACAACAACAACAACATCAAAAATACAGTCGACGGTAAAAGTAATTGGCGACAACGGTTCACAATTGTGACCTGTGGTCAATCATCATCGGAATCGCTGATGTTGGCCATTGTTTTGCTGTGCGGCTATATTGTATCGCTGGCGTTGACCATACAGTGGGCACAATTCACTTATATACCCACGTATGTTGAGGACTCAAAACTAAAGTTAAGCGTCGATATGGCCGTCGAAATGTCCACTGTATTGGGCGGTGCACTGGTTGCCGGTCGGATAGCCGGTATGATTATATCCAGGTTTGTCAACTCGAAACTGATTGCCATATTATTTCTGGTCATTTTGTTTGTCGCCGAAATACTGTACATTATATTCACAAATATCGGCCCGACTGGAGTCTGGGTGGCCAACGTTGTCTTCGGTATCGGTTTGGGACCCATGCAAGCCGTCGGCTATCAGATTGTCGAAATGGTAACACCGGTAACCAATATGATTGGTGTACTCTATATATTTATGAGCGGACTGATAGCCGCCATTACCCCGATAATTATGAGCCGATTTATCTATACGGATGTGTTTACACTGGTCTATGTTAACCTATTTTTCATTTTGACGGGTCTGATAGTAGTGGCCATTGTCTGGTGGTTGATCTACAAAAATAATGACAACAAATCCAACTATAATATGCAAACTAAAGCTAACAATTTTACTAAAACAGATATAGTTATGGTGGCACCGGTAGTATCTATACTAGAAGTATCATAATATCAATCAATCAATGATTGATTGATTGATAAAAAACAAAATTTAAAAAAATATATCTGCATTTATTTTTTTGTTGTTTATTAGTTAAATTATATATTAATATAATTATAAGTAATTTATTTATTTAACTAATTTAATTAATTAGTTGTCATTTTAATTAATATTATACAATTATTGTTATTTTTTTTAATTATATTAAAATGTTATTTATTTATTATTGTTAACAAAATTAGGATTAAATTAAATTTAAAAAATTAAATTTATAAATATTTAATTAAAACAAATGTGATAAAACAAATTATATAACAAACAATTTTTTAAAAACAATTGAATTTCTAATAATATCTAAAAATTAGTTTCTAAATGTAAATAATTAAATTTCATATACTATTATGTAAAAAAACGATTTAAAAATATATGTGCTATAAAAATTAATAAAACAATAAGCAATACAAACATTGAACTAAAATAGATAAATATAATGGGATTGTTGTCTATATAGTGACCCAATATGGCCTAAAATGTGGCCTGAAATAAACCGGATAAAACTATGATTATGGCCCCGAACATGTTGGTTACCGGTAGTTTGCCGCTCAGTAATTGATAGTACGATGCCTGTATGGGTCCCAGTCCTACACCCATTAGGACATTACCCAACCATAGGATAGTTAGCGAACTGTTTCTATAAATACCGAACAGTATTACCGATACTATCAAAAACTATAGACCACCGTAAATACGTAAAACGGGTGGCAAATATATGGACAGTGGTATAACTGGTGCCTGACTAACTGTAAAAGCAATTTTGTTGACATTCATCATATTGTTGGCCAATTGTTTGCTGATTATATCCTGTTTGTTGTTGTTATCCGTAGAAAACTGTATGTATGGCAACCAATAGGCTGACCAAAACCATTGAATAGTAATTACAAGCGATAACTGTAAGCATATCATCAATAAGATAGCGCAGCCTATCATTGATGGACACAGTTGTGTGGCAAACAATCGGTTGGTTTTTGTTAATTAAATGTCTAAACCATTTGACGGTTAAGTTTGAAGTGTTGTCGACTGTTGTTAGCAAATCGTTGTTAGATTTGTTATTATCAGGCGATACATAATATCTATGCCTATAGTAAGCAATACCGGCAAACAATATGCCGGTAACTATATTGATTACACCTACTACTAGATATGGTATCCATATTTTGGATGGTGTTTCCATATAATCGTATGAAATATCCGTTAATGTAGTATTTAGTTGATTTGTATCTATGGTGGGGGTGGTGGTGGTGGATAGAAATTGGTTAACTAATGGTATGGCCACTATCTGACCCAAACCAATAACAAAATGTAGTGCCTCTGCAAATGGTCCGCATTTGTTCAGCCAAATGTCGACCATCCATACGGTAAGAAAACTGTCAATAATACCGCTATCAAAACCATTGATACCGTACACCACATATAATAAGCTCAGATACTTTAGATTAGCAAACGGTACTGATGTCAGACCAATGACTATTAGACACACCGAAAACACAATGTATTTATTGAACTTTCCATAGATTGCCACAACTATATATACAGTACATGTATATGTATATAAATATATAATCTTATATAAAGTTTATTGAATATGTTTGACAACAAAATAAAGTTTATTTAAAAATGATTTTTATTTATTTGTTTCGTTAAATACCCAGAGCACCCATCAAATAGGTAATACCCCAAATGGTATTGAGATAGGATATCTGTTCAAATGTGCACCGGTATATTGATTGCAGGTCAAGCATAGTAGGACCTATCATACTACTTTGAATTAACTTTGAATTTTTATAATAAAAAAATAATAATAAATCAATCACATTTAAATGATTTAGATTAATTATAATAATATAATTAATAATATGTTATTTAAAAAATAAAATCAAAATATTTACATAAAATAAGTCACTAATATAAAGTTATATTGAAAATTTCAAAAATATTTTATAGCTAATCGACCACTTGTTGTTGTTATCGTCAAAATTAACATTGCTAATATTATTATTATCCATGTTATCAAAAATTATTATGTTATTATTTAAAAATTATTTTAACAGTTAATTCAATACAATAAACTAAATAAAATTAATTTTGAATAAGTTTTACTTATAAATTTTTTTTTCATGTATAATTATTAACTTATATACGTAATCACATACATAATTAAATAATCAATAAAATAATTTTTTTTTTTAAAATTATATTTAACAAAAAACAAATAAACATTTGATTTGTTGATCTATTAATTCATATTTGAAATTTTCATATTTATAATAATATTATTTTCATATATTATAATATTATCTATTTGTAGTTAGTTTTACTTATTATTACAGTGCAATTATATTTTATCTATTAGACAACAAATTTAATATATATATATATATTGAATTTAATTAGTAATAGTTATGTAATTTTATTATAATTTTTTTAATATTTGTTAGTCAACATCTGTTCAAATTCAATTGAATTGAATTTTATTTTAACTAATTAACTTATTTTTAGACATAATTAAATTAATTTAATTAATTAATAATAATAATGAATATTATTAACAACAACAACAAAATGTTGAAATACAACTTTTAATAAAAATCTTGATATAATTGATTAAAAACTATGATCAACACTATATGTATTATTATTTTTTTTTAAAAATCAATCACATTTAAATGATTTATATAAATCAATTAGTTTAATATAATTAATAATATGTTATCCAAAAATTATATTTACATTTAATTAATTAATTGTTTGTTTGTTTAAGTAAAGCATGTGTTATAATAAATAGTAAAACAATGATCGCTACGAACATTACAGTCAAATAAATAAATATTATAGGATTTGTGTCGATATAGTGACCCAATATTACTGAAAATATTGCCTGAAATAAACCGTTTAACAATACAGTGATAGCCCCGAACATGTTGGTCACCGGTAGTTTGCCTTTCAATAATTGATAATACGATGCCTGTATGGGTCCCAATCCTAAACCCATAATTACGTTACCCAACCATAGGACAGTTAGCGAACTGTTACCGTATATGAGAAACAATACGACCGATACTATTAAAGCTATTAGACTACCGTAAATACGGGGAACAGCTGATATATAGATGGACAGTGGTATAAACACGGCCCGACTGACTGTTATAGCAATTTGATTGGCGTCGACCATATTGTTGGCCAGTTGTTTGCTGATTATTTTATTATGTTGTTGTTGTTGTTTGTCCGATGAAAACTGTATGTATGGCGTCCAATAGGTTTGCCAATACCAGTTAACAGTGAATATAATTGATAACTGCAAACATGTCATCAATATGATAGCACAGCCAACCATTGATGGACACAATTGTTTGGCAAACATGTGACCGGTTTTTCTAAAAAACTGTTTGAAACTACTAATACTTGTTTCGATAGTTGTATTGGTGTTGACTGTTGTTGTTGTTGTTGTTGTTGTCGACACACAACAACAAGTTTTGATATTAATTTTCCGATAATATCTGTAGTGTCTATAGTAAGCAATACCGCCAAACCATATACCGGTCAGTATATTGATGACACCCACCACTAGATATGGTATCCATATTTGAGATGGTGTTTGTATAGTATTATCAGTAATTAATGTGGTATTTAAATTATTAGTGGTATCTATTGGCTTAGTTGTTGTTGATAGAAATTGATTGACAATAGGTATGGATAGTATCGGTGCCAAACCGACTATAAAATGTAGTGCCTCTGCAAACGGTCCGCATTTGGTTTGCCAGATGTCGACAATCCATACGGTAAGAAAACTGTCGTTAATACCACTTTCCAGGCCATTGATACCGAAAACAATGTATAATAAGGTCAGATATTTGAGACTAGCAAACGATACTGATGTCAGACCATTGACTATTAGACATACCATAAACACAATGTAATTATTGAACTTTCCATAGACTGCCACACCTTTATATGTTTAGTTTTTTTTTTGTAGTATTATGTTTGGTTAAAAAAAATATACAAAATAAGTTTATTTAATAATGATTTTTTTTTGTTTGTTTGTAAATACCCAGAGCACCCACCAAATAGGTAATACTCCATATGGTATTTAGATAGGATATCTGTTCAAATGTGCACCGGTATATTGATTGCAGGTCAAGCATAGTGGGGGCTACCAAGCCACTTTGAATTAACTTAATTTTTTTTTAAAATAATAAAAAAAATAAATATAAATCAATCACATTTAAATTGATTTAGATTTTAAATTAATTGATAATATGTTATTTAAAAAATTAAATAAAAATCTCATAATATTTACATAAAATAAGACACTAATATATATTGAAAATGTCAAAAATATTTTATATCTAATCGACCACTTGTTGTTGTTATCGTCAAAATTAACATTGCTAATATTATTATTATTATTATTATTATTTTCCATGTTATTATTTTAACAGTTAATTCAATACAATAAACTAAATAAAATTAATTTTTTTAAATGATTTTTTAATTATAAATTTTTTCATGTATAATTATTAACTTATATGTAAATCACATACATAATTTTTAATAATCAATATATAATAAATTTATTTATTATAATAAATATATTTAACAACAAAAAAAACAATTAAAAACATTTTAATATGTTGATCTATTAATTCATATTGAAATTGTAAATTTTTACATTTTATAATAAGCAAATTTTAAATAATAATAATAATTTTAAAACTTTACACAATATTGTTTTTTTAATAAAAAAATAAATAATATCATTTTCATATATTATAATATTATCTATTTGTAGTTAGTTTTACTTATGATTATAGTGCAATTATTTTTATTTTATTTTATATATTAGACAAGTTTACATATATATATATATACAGTATATAATATATATATATACAGTATATATAATATATATATATACAGTATATAATATATATATACAGTATATAATATATATATACAGTATATAATATATATATACAGTATATAATATATATATACAGTATATAATATATATATACAGTATATAATATATATATACAGTATATAATATATATATTAGTATATAATATGATTAAAAAATAACATTATGTATAGAAACAGTTTAGGTGTAATGCTAGTAATAGTTATGCAATTTTATTTTATATTATTATTTGTTAGTCAACACCTGTTCAAATTCAATTGATTCAATTGAATTGAATTTTTAACTAATTAACTTATTTTTTAGACATAATTAAATTAATTTTTATTAATTAATTTTTAATAATAATTATAATAATGAATATTATTAACAACAACAAAAATAATGTTGAATAAAACTTTTAATTAAAATCTTGATATTTGATTAAAACTACTGTATTATCAACACTATATGTATTATCATTATTATCATTAGTAATATTATTATTATTATTATTATTATTTGTCTGTTTAGAAAAATTAAAAGTCACCTTGATTACTTTACTAACAAGCACATTTTGGCAAAACATTAAAAAAAACTAATGGCACGACAATACAAAATAATATAAAATATATGGAAAAAGCATAAGATTTATATATGGATTCAAAAATAATGATAATATTGTTTTTTTTTTAATACTATATAAGCAAATGGAAAACATAAATACATTTATAATTTTGTTTGTTTGTTTTATTTTATTAACAATTTAAAAATTCAATTAATAATATAAGTAAATTAGTGTAATAAATTAAATCACAATTATATGGAAATAATAACTAAAAAAATTTTAATACTAATATTGTTTAGTATTCATAATAGTTTGTGACAATAGTTTTTTATAAATACAATTATATCTGTTTTTAGTTAATAATTTTATAACATTTATCGATATATAAATATTTATTATTATTATTATTATAATTAAATAAATTTTTGCAAATGTCACTATAGATATTTGATTGTAGTTTTTACATAACAACACTTCAAAAAAAAAGTTGTGACATTAGTTTTTTTTCAAATAATATTTTAATAAAAACATTACCTAATGGTATCTAAAAAAAACCTAAAATCAGTAATTAATTTTTGTAGACATATAAACAACTATGAATCCTAAAAAATCAGTATAAAAACAAACTGGTATTTAGAAAAATTATTTTCAAAAATCAATACATTTTATCATTATTTTATCAAAAAAAAACTTGAAAAGTTTTGTTTTCTGAAATCTATACGAGCCTTTTTTTTTGTGTGTGTGTGTCTGTAGCATTTCATTTTGCGAATTTTGAAATTCTGACCTCAGATTCGGTTAGAGGACTACTAATAATGTATTGAAAAGTTTAATTCAAATTTTGATATCTCTTCGGGAACATAGACAAAATGGCGGCCAAATAAAAAAATAATTTTAAGAAAAATTTTTTTAAGTATAGATTTGAATAAAGCATCAAAAACAAGAATAAAAATATACATTAAAATTTTGATATCTCTTCGGGAACATAGACAAAATGGCGGCCAAATAAAAAAATAATTTTAAGAAAAATTTTTTTAAGTATAGATTTGAATAAAGCATCAAAAACAAGAATAAAAATATACATTAAAATTTTGATATCTCTTCGGGAACATAAAGAAAATGGCGGCCAAAGTAAAAAAATTAGGTAAAAATTTTAACGTTTAGAATTGTAAAAAGTATTAAAAATATGATATAATAAATCAGTATAAATTTTTTTAAATGGCGGTAAAAGTATATAAAAAATTTAAGAAATTTTTTTAAAGTATAGATTTGAATAAACCATCAAAAACAAGGATAAAAAATATGCATTAAAATTTTGATATCTACGGAAACAAAAAGAATAAGTATAAGCGGAAAAAGTATAATTATAGATGATTATTTTGTTATACTAAATCATTTGAAACTACACATGAGTAGTTGATTATTTTGTCAAACCGAGTCATTTGATACCCCACATGACTATAGTTGTTTATTTTGTCATACTGAATCATTTGATACCATACATGACAATATTTATATTATGTATATTTGACCAGTTTTTAAATTTTTATATGTTATTATATAGCCGCTATAATTATACAAACTAATAGTTTTCAATGTTATTCAAGTTTTTTTTCTGAAAATGCTTTCTAGCATTCTTAACTGGTTTTTATAATTAAATATATTTACACTTTGAGATTATAATAATAAATTAGTATAGAATTTATTTATTTTTTTGTAGTAATTGTTATATATTTCTATTAATATTTTTTTGTTGTTGCTTATATTATATTATAATTGTAATATTTTATTAAAAAATATTAATTAATTTTTTATATCATCTATAGACATTATTATAGACTTAACAATAATATATATATATATCTACATTTATATATTAATAGTATAATATTGATGAGTTCATGCATTGGTAATGTAAATTTTCATTATTGACAAACAATATATTTTATTTTAATTAATTAATAAAAAGTTTTATGTAATTTATTTTATGGATATTTAAGTGCAAAACACAGTATATATATGATTCAGATAGTTGTGAAACATTTTTGTATTTTTAGTTTTTTTTATGTCACTATTATCTTATTTATTATATTAGTACTGTTTATCACTAATTATAAGCAAAACATTGCTTTGATTATTATTATTATATTATTGTTAATAATAAATTTTTTTTGGTTGCAATTATAATGAACGGCCTAACAGACAGTTGTGTTTTGGGAAGTCTGACCCAAAAATATCGGCTATTTTTGACGATAGCTTGTATTGTGTCTTATTTTTTATATGTAAATACAAACACAATTATTAATTTATTTATCATATAATACTGCTTTTATTGATGTTATTAATATTAGTTATTTTTTTTATAAAAAAATTGTGTTTTTTCAAAAAAAAAACTAACTATACTAGAAATTAATTATTTATTTTTCAATGTATAATATTTAAAAGGCATTTAACAACTTTATTATTGGCCAAACATTGAAGGACTTGCAAGATATCTATCGGTGTACTTATGAACAGATATCCAATATTAATACAATCAGGGCGTTTACATTTGCCCTGGGATCAATTAGTAAGTTATATTATCAATTGTTATAATATTTAACAAGTACATTTTTCTATACAATTATACTAAAATACAACATATAATTACTTTTTTTTAAAAATAAATTAATATAATAATAGTGTTAAATATTTAAAGGAAAAACAGTTAGCAATTTATTATTGATATAATCAAACAATAAAAAAATTTAGGTAATTTTTTATTAAAATGTTAATTTTTTATAATAAATATTATAAAAATTTAGTAAAATTTAATTATCTTAAAAGATACACACATTATAAAAGAAATATTATTTATAATTAAAAAAATATATATTTAAATATTTATATTTTCTATATATATATATATATTAATATATTTATAGATGGATTTGCATTTGACATAATCAACAAACAACTGTGTCTATTGACATGTCATGTCATAATAGGTCTGACAATGATATTGACGCCATTCCTCTATTACTTACCGCTTCTATACGTTAACAATGCGGTCAACGGTTTCCTTAGCGGCGGTATTGAACTGTTGCTCAACGTATGGGTAGTGGAAATGTGGGGCCAAAAGTGCGGCCCCTATATACAGGCCGTACACTTTGGCGGCAGTATTGCCGGTCTAATAACGCCACAAATTTTCGGTCCTTTTTTGGAGATAAAAGATATATCAGTTGTTGTGTCAAACAATACACAAGGATTGGCGGTCTACAGCATCGATATCCTGGTAATCACACCGTCGACAATACATATACCGTACGGCGTTTTGGGTGGTCTATCGGTAGCGTTCGGCCTGTTTATTGGCTGCACTTATTTCTATCGCAAATATGAGGGACGAGTTGTGGTCAACAACAACAACAATACGGTTAAGGGAAACAGTAATTGGCGACAACGGTTCACCGTACCGACCAATGGTCAATCATCGCAGTCTCTATTGATGGCCATTGTATTGCTGTGCGGTTATATTGTATCGATAGCTATGACCATACAGTGGGCACAATTTGAATATATACCCACTTATGTAGAGTACTCGCAACTACACGAAACCGCCCAGGGAGCCGTCAAAATGACCACTGCATTGGGCGGTTCACTTGTAGTCGGTCGGGTGGCCGGTATGATTATATCGCAGTTTGTCAGCGCCAAACTCATTGCTATTTTATTTTTGGCCCTATTGTTTGGCGCCGAAATTGTTTACATTATATTCACAAATATCGGCTCAACCGGTGTATGGGTGGCCCACGTTTTGTTCGGGTTCGGTTTGGGACCGTTACAGGCCGTCGGCTATCAGATTGTCGAAACGGTAACACCGATGACCAACACGATTGGTGTACTCTATATATTTATGAGCGGACTGATAGCCGCTGTTACCCCGATAATTATGAGCCGATATATCGATACCAATGTGTTTACACTGATCTATGTTAACTTGTTTTTCATTTTGACGGGTATGGCAGTAGTAGTGGTTATTTGGTGGTTAATACATAAAAATGCTAACAATGTAACCAACTATGATATAGATAATATCAAAAATACTATAGATATAGATGTGATACAAGTAGAAATGGTCAATAAGGTTGAACCGGTAGCTATAGTTAGCATAATTAATAATCTAAATAAATATTAGTAAAAATAGATAATTACTAATAAATGTAATAGTAATTAAAATAAATTTTCAACAATAAAATAATCTAATAATTTAATTTTTTAATTGATAAACAAATATTTAAAAACTATATATTTTATTTGATAAACATTAATGATAATAATAATAATAAATGTAATATAGTGTATAATATTTATAAATGTTTATATAATATAGATGAATATTTTTAGATTATGTTTTAAAAATAATAATATTTTTTTGTTTCGTTTATAATAAATACTAATTTGAAAAAAAAATATCTATAAGTGCTAAAAAAATAAAATAATAATAATACTTAATAATATCTAAATATTTTTTTTGTTTATTAATATTTATTATAAATACAGTATTACATTACAATTAATATTTTTTTCGCAATTTTCACCTTATATTGAATAGTATAGTATTAAGCAATTAATAATTGTAATCATATTTATCTCTATTATATTAAACTAATTAAATAACTTTCACAACAAGTTATAAAAACTAAATTTATAATATTGATGAGCTCATGTATTTTTGTACAAATATATGATATATATATATATATATATATATATATATATATATATATATATATATAAATATAGTTATAAAAATATTGAACAGTAAATAGTAATTAAATAAAGTTAATGTAAAATATTTTTATTGATTGCAAAATAAATTACATTATGATCCTGTTTTTATTTATTTATTTATTATCAAATAATAATATACTTTATTATTATTATTATTCTAATAATTTATTAATAATAAAATAAATTATTGTTATAAAGTATATAATAATGTGTTAATTAACTTTCTCTCTCTCTCTCTCTATCTATCTATCTATCTATCTATCTATCTATCTATCTATCTATCTATCTATCTATCTATCTATCTATCTATCTATCTATCTATCTATCTATCTATCTATCTATCTATCTATCTATCTATCTATCTATCTATCTATCTATCTATCTATCTATCTATCTATCTATCTATCTATCTATCTATCTATCTATCTATCTATCTATCTATCTATCTATCTATCTATCTATCTATCTATCTATCTATCTATCTATCTATCTATCTATCTATCTATCTATCTATCTATCTCTCTCTCTCTCTCTCTCTCTCTCTCTCTCTCTCTCTCTCTCTCTCTCTCTCTCTCTTCTCTCTCTCTTTCTTTCATTAAATCATTCACAATCACACACACACACACACACACATACATACATACATATAAAACAAAATAATAATTTTTGAAAAATTATATTTATTTAGATATAAATAATTGTTTTATTTAGATTTATTAGATATTATTTTTTTTTATAAAAAAAAGTTGACAATAAGTTTATATAACAAAAAATTACATTAGAAAATATTAACAAAAATCATTTAATTTGTTTATCGATAACATATTTAAGTAATATATGTGTTATAATAAATAGTAAAACATTTATACCTACAAACATTGCAGTCAAATAAATAAATATAATGGGATTGTTGTCTATATAGTGACCCAATACTATTGAAAATATTGCCTGAAATAAGCCGCCTAAAAATGTAATAATAGCCCCGAACATGTTGGTCACCGGTAGTTTGCCTTTCAATAGTTGATAATACGATGACTGTATGGGTCCCAAACCTATACCCATTACTATATTGACTAACCATAAAACTGTTAGCGATGTCGATCCGTATACGATAAACATAAGGACAGATACTATTAAAATCATTAGACTAAAGTAAATCCGATAAACAGGACCAACATATACCGATACCGGTATATACAGGGCTTGACTGACGGCTAATGCAATCTGTTTGGAGTTCATCATATTGTTGGCCAATTGTTTGCTAATTATTAGTTGTTGATGTTTGCCTAAATTTGCCGAAAATTGTACAAATGGTGTCCAATAGGACGACCAATACCAGCCGAGTGTCATCATAATTGATGATTGAAAACTGGTCAACAATAAGACGGCAAAACCGATTTTCGACGGACATAATTGTGTAATAAATATATCCCTGGTTTTGATAATCAATTGATTAAACCAACAATAATTGTTGGCATTTATATTATCCGTAGTATTATTAGTGATCAACAATGTGTTGTTAGTCAATGGGTTGTCATCATCGGGTGATCTAGATTTACGGCGTCGGTTATATTGTCGCCTATAGATAGCAATACAGCCAAACAATATGCCGGTCAGTATATTGATGACACCCACTGTCAGATATGGTATCCATATTCTTGATGGTAGTTCCTCCTCCTCTTCGACAATATATAGACTATCATTAATTACTACTGTATTAGTAATATTAGTGATATTATTATTATTATTGATAATCAATGAACTATTGGTATATAATTTTGTTGATAAAAATTCATTGGCAAACGGTATGGTCATTATCTGACCCAAACTCATAACAAAATGTAAGGCAGCCGTAAATGGACCGCAATTGGTCTCCCAGATGTCGGCCATCCATACCGTTAGAAAACTATCGATAACTCCGCCTTCGATGCCATCAAAACCGTAGGCAATGTATAGTAAGCTCAGGTATTTAAGATTAGCGAACGGTGCCGATAGTAGGCCATTGGCTATTAGGCATACCATAAACACTATGTATTTGTTAAATTTGCTATAGACTGCCACACCTGTTATATATATATATATATATAATAATTAATTATCGTTAAATAAATATAACCAAAAAAAATTATTATTATATTATTTTTTAAATAAATAAAAGTTTATTAATACCCAATGCTCCCACCAAATACATGATACCCCATATAGTATTCAGATAGGATATATGTTCAAATGTGCACCGGTATATTGATTGCAGGTCAAGCATAGTCGGTCCAAATAGGCTACCTTGAATTACCTATAAATTTTATTTGAATAAATTAATTATTAAAAAAAAATATTCATATTATATTTAAAGTATATATATATATATATAATTGTATATTGCAATTGTATTGTATATAATTTCTAACTTATATTCAATATATATACAGTATAAATATAAGTTAGAAATTATATACAATAATATAAACATTAATTTAAAAATATATATAATTTAATACTTACATAAAATAATACACTAATATATATGGCAAATGTCAAAAATATTTTATATGATGTCCACCACTTGATATTATTATTATTATTATTTTTGTTATCATCATTATTAACATTATGGTTATCATTATTCAAATTTATCATCTCCATGTTTTRTATAAATTCAACTTTTTTTATAATTAAAAAAATACTAATAAATAAAATACTAATWATTTTAAAAAAAAACAATAGATTTATTATAGTTTATAATAGTTATATATAATTTTGTAAAAAAATAATATTTTTAATAAGTATTTTTTTAATTAAAAAAAAATAAAATAATAAATAATTTTTTTCTATAGAGATTTAATTATAAACATGTAGTACATTAATTATTTCATATAAATATTGAAATATAAAAATTAATATTAATATATAAAAAATTTAATACTAATACTAAATTAATATTAATTACAATTAAATATTTTGACCATGTCACTTTATTTTATGGGATTTTCATTTTTATATTTTAATAAATATATATATATATACTGYATATACTGTATATATATAATATRATTATATTATTATTAKTATACAGTGTATGAACATTAAATAAATTAATAKTTAATTAAATAATAAAAATTGTATAAATTTATTATAGATTATAATACAATTATTCATTATATAATTATTATTATAAATTATATACAAACTAATATATTAAAATATTTATTTTCAAACACATTATAAGTACTAAACAGTAGATTATATACTGTATATTAGGTATTATATGCTAATGATAAKTGTATWASAAAATTACAAAAAAATAAAACTAATATATAGTATTCAATAATATTAAGTTTAAAAAAAATATATTTTTATATTTAAAAAAAAAATTATTGCATATTATTATTATTATAGTGAAGTTGTGTTGTTATTAAAATTTAATATACAGTACAGTATTACAAAACACACACACAAACACTGTATTGTATTTATTTATTTTTCAAACAATTATTAGTATAAAACGTTATATTGATATGATTATTGTCCCCCAAATATTTGTCCCCCAGTTTCTCTCTCTCTCTCTCTCTTTCTCTCTCTCTCTCTCTCTCTCTCTCTCTCTCTCTCTCTCTTTGGTCGATTGATATTCTTAAATGTACTTTAAGAATTAAATTTTATACTTACCGTGTGTAAATTTTTATAATAACATTATACTGTAGTACTGTATATTTATATGTATATAAATTTATATATATGTATATTATATGTATTAAACATATAATTTATACAATATTTGATGAGTATATATATATATATATATATATATATATATAKAGAGAGAGAGAGAGAGAGAGAGAGAGAGAGAGAGGAAGGGAAATAAAATATTTTCCATATATTCCGGGAATATTAAAGTGAGAATATTTTAAGGAATTTCTCTATTAGGGAAAGTTACTCGAACTCTAGTAACGATTATATTATATAATATACTAATATAACTATTTTTAATATTAAATAAATGTAATATTTTTGTTAAAATAATAATTACAATAATACTATGTATAGTAAGTATTTGATGTTATGTTAGTTATTAAAATTAAGTAATAACTTTAATTTAATAAATATATATTTAAATTTTAATTTAATAAAATATTTATTATTAAAAAATTATAAAAAAATGTGTAAATTTTATCAATTTTTATTATTATTATGTTTGAAATACCTTAAGTATATAAGTAGAGTATATAAAATAATAATTCAAAAAATATAAAAATAAAATAAAAAATAGTTAATAATTAATTTATAAATTTAATTTTATAGTTTAATTAATAAACTAATTATTTATTTCTAGTATTGTATTTTTTTTAAAAAACTCATTTATTTAACTCATTTCCTAACCTATTATATCACACTTTAACTAAAAAAAAAGTTTGTATAAAAATTTATGTATTAGACATTAGACGTATAATTAACGCAAATAATTAATTAATTAATTACTTATTTATATTCTAATAGATATGTAATAATTTATTTTCAACAATAACAAACAATCAAACAAACAAAAACTTACCTAGCTTATAAATTGTTTTACAGTATTAACAAACAATAATAATAATAATAAATTTAATACTTTATTTGAACTTGATCACAAAAAATATTTTATAATACACATATTGATATATAAAAATCTAATAAACTATGAAAATAATGTACTAGGTTAAAATAATTAATCATTATTATATTTAAAAAAAATACTTTATAATTAGAGTCATTCAGAGAGAGAGAGAGAGAGAGAGAGAGAGAGAGAGAGAGAGAGAGAGAGATTGCGTTACTAATTAAATATTTTAATGACAAGAATTTTATTATTATTATTATTACATTATATTATTTTTAATATTATATATTAATTATCAGTAACCCATTGGCACG